CATGTTAGCGATTTCACTATTGTCGCTATTTTTTGACGCGTTGCATGTGAGCATAGCCTGTTTTCCACTCATATTATGTGTCAGGTGCCGTGGCCGTACGATGGCTCTCCTCCAGTCGTTATTGTACCAACTGTGCACGAAGTTGACCGTCCTTGTCAATTCCCGGGCCTGTCGTTCACGCAGATGCCGCAAAGGTGCTGGACTGCGGACGGAAGCTCCCTGATCGTCGGCACTGCGTGGAGAAGCAAAATGGTGCATTAGCACTTCCAAACGTAATGCATGTTTCATCAAAAGCTATTTGGTTTAGGAGCTGGTGGCAATAGATGTGTCTAATGGTGATGTGGCTAGGTTAACGAATCATAGTCAATGTCATGGGAGCTGGCAGGTGGTGGATGTGTGCGAAGACGAAATTCTTGCCGTGGTTTCTGCTCCGAACCGGCCGCCTGCTTTACTTCTCGGAACAATTCCTGCCAGAGGTCAAGAAGAAAAGGTTAGGAAGCAGTAAACGGATTATTTATATTTTGCTGGCCTGATGTATCTGCACACTGGTTTTCCCCGTGCACAAAGCTCTAACATTCCAGATGATTTGGACTCGACTTGATAACTGCTCTATCATTGAGAAACGAAGAAATCTCTTAAATTATACGTGGCAGTTAGTTGATTTCCAACGAGCAGGTGTGTTGAAGAAATTTTGTGTGTTATTGCTCATTTGTAGCTAGCTTAAAAAAGCTTTTCTGGATTGATTTCGTTTCGTAAACCTTTTTCCTATGTGTTAAACCTGTTTGCAAATACTGCTAGTTCAGGAGAAACACCATATGAGGGGGTACTCATGATGCCAAATGAGGGCAGCTCTTTACCGTTGGTGGTTTGCCCTCATGGTGGGCCTCACGGAGTCTCAGTTGCTGGGTCAGTCAAGTGCTCACCTACACTGCACTTCGTCCTTTTAGTATTCATCTTGCAATTGCATTGCAGGTGGCCTCGACGAAGTGTAACTGCATTGATCAATTCCGGGTTTGCCTTCCTGTATGTCAACTATCATGGCTCGGTAAGCAACTTTTCGGGTTGTAGTACTGGTGAAGTTCTTCACTGATAACAACCTCAATTTAGCTTGGTTTTGGAGACGAATTCGTCCGGTCATTACCCGGCAAATGCGGCAATTTGGATGTTAAGGATGTGCACGTGAGCAAAAATTTTGTTTCGCTGCAATTACACAGAATAATTATACTGATAATTATAATAGTATGAGGTACGCGAGACGGAAGGTAAGGTGATAAACGGGAAGATCCAGGTATTGGATGTCCTCCACTCTTGCGGAGGTTTCACCATGGCCATCCACATTCGGCTCTTTACATTATTCAGAGGCCGGGAACCTGACCATCAGAAGGAGCTTACCTTCTGCTAATATAATACTTTCTGCAATTCTGCACCGCTTGAAGGGGGATGGGGGGTGCGTAGCGTTTCTCCTCCTGGGGTCAGGTCACCTAAAATTGAGACGCCGTTCATTCGCTCGGAGCAAGCTTAGGACTAAGCCTAGGCCCAATCATAGGCTTAGGCATAAGCCAATGTGTAAGCATAAGCCTTTAGGTCTAACCCAAATTAACCTTAAAGGAATCTTGCGCGGAAAATTCTTGCACTCTTTCCTAACATGAATATGTCAGTTGTGATCACTGGAAATAGCACACAAAGTTTCACGCATGAAGATTCGGTTTCTGAAGAGAAACAAACGTACAAAAACTACACGTTATGGACCATCGAAGGACCAGGAGGCAGAGCCAGGCGAGGCATGGAAAGAAGACGGCGTTTGGCCGGCTACGTACCAGGCGACGCAATGAGAGAATCGGGTTAAAGCGCGCGATTTCGGAGAGTGGAGACAAATCGATCGATGGAATAGGATGGAGTGTAAGATGTGAATGCAACGAAGCAGAAGGCCAGAAAGAGTTTCTAGTGAATGCACTCCAAGAACCAAGTTTGAGCATCCCCGTCGCCAGCATTCGTGAAAGACGTCCGTGGGCAATTCGAACGCGTAGCAGCCTTTTCGAGTTTTCGAATTTCTAATCAAAACGAAAGCAATACTTCAGTTCTTTTCACTATTATCGTGGATAATGAGTCTCAAGCCAGTGATTTATGGCTGAAATAGAATCATGATTTTTCCGCGCAAGATTCCTTTAAGATCATTGCTTCAATGATCGCGCCACTGTGGTGACCTGACCCCAGGAGAAGAAACGCACGTCTCCCCTCTGTGGGTCCCCTCATCAATACATCAAGTGTCTGAAGGAAGAGGAATGGTCTTAGAGCTAATCCTTGGTGCACTGCAACTGTTACATCCACCTCGTTTGTCAATCCGTGCGAAGTGCGTATTGCTACCTCAGCAACATCACCATCGTCTTCACCAGAGACCTTAGGTGTTCCTCTCTCTTGGCGCCTTCCAAAGCACTGGTCGCGGTAGACGGTCGAACGCCTTCTCCAGATCGAGGAAGGCTAGGTAGCAGGGTCGGCGCTTATACTTCTCCATCACTTGCCTTGCGATGAAGATGGCATCCGTTGTAGACCTTTCGGGCATGAACCCGAACTGTTCCTGGGAGATCGGGACCAGCTCCCGCAGTTCGAGTCGACCAGTCGCTCGTACAGCTTCATGGTATGCGCAGTCAACTTGATCCCGCGGTAGTTGGAGCAGTCCATCGCGTCACCCTTCTGCTTGAAGATGGGGACGATAGTGCTTGTTCTCCAGGCATCCGGCATCCTTCCTTCCGCAGTTACGTTGTTCAGGAATGTGAGCCATCTTATCCCGTACTCGAGCGCCTTCCATGCCTCGATTGGCACCCATCTGGACCAATCCGCCTTTCCAACCTGCGTCTTTCCTACCTCTCGATGTAACCTCTTCTTCTGCCCGCAAAAATAGATGGGGCCAGCTATTGCCTCTGCTTGTGAAGCTTGTGCTACAAAGCCCACTCTTCGTCAGTGGGTACCCTTGACGTCCTTCACAGTTCTGAGGGATCTTCTTATGAGCACATGGTCGATTTCCGTCGATCTCCCTCCACTGCTGTAGGTTACCTTCTCAATCTCCCATTTTGCGAAGAACGTGCTGCAGAATGAGCAGTGCATACTCACGTTAACACATTGCGGACCGCCGTTATACGAGGATATCCGTACCTTTTTTATGTTTTTAGAAAACAGATCATCATTAATCTATCAACAATTTTATCAGTGATGATACTATTGTTTCCTGGCTCTAAAAATGAGTGCAAACCCTCAGCAGCATTGAAAAATAAAAAGTAAATTAGTTTAAACTATGATCTCTTGCTTGAAATCGTGCGCCACCATGTGGCATACGCTATGTGTTAGGACCTTGACTGTAGCTCACAGGGTGTTCGAGCGATGTCTTTTGAGGTCTAATCGGTCTACACCGATTGAACCTCATGAGTACAATATGGAGCCAGACTCCGCAGCGCAGACCTACGCACAATGTCCCGTCTCCGAGACCCTGTGGAGCACATGACAAACGCCAAGCTACAATGAGCTCCCGTAGGATTTTCGCGATTCAAAGGGAGACCTGCGGTCCTGTTTACATTGAGGACATAGTTCTTATGCGACTACCGCTACGGCCCGCCGTTCCGCTTAGTGTCTTCTTCCATTGTAGTAGAGTTTGACACCTTCCCATTTTCCCTGGCCTTAGCACCTTTCCATCGCGTCTCCTGAAGGCATAGGACTTGGATATTCCTGCGCGTCATCAGATCAGCAACCTCTCGGGACTTCCCAGTTAGCGATCCTACGTTTGAAGTCCCAGTTCGGACTACCTTCTTGGCCGAGGCCGTTCACTTCGCGGTTCTGAGGAGGTTCCTGTGCGCCACTTCCAGGTGATGTCCTAGCTCACAGATACATTTTGCGATTTTAGACATGTTGTGGGACCGGAGTCTTCATCAACCCCCCCCCCCTGTTAACCTGGGTCCTGACGCTGGTACTAGATCCATCCTTGCAATTCCTGCAGAGCGTGAACCTCGGCAGGGATCAAACGCGCTGCTTTCGGTGTACTCGACTTGGGTGTAGGGTGGGCCAAAATTATGGTCACTGCGTGTGCGTAGCTCACTTCTTCCCTAATCTTTTTAGTTTTCTCTTCCTTTTTGGGCATAATGTGATAGAGCACAACGCATTCTTCTCATTGAGACTAAATATCATAGAGCTCTCATATTAGTGAAACAATAACATCACGGTATGCCAATCCTCAGAACCGACAAAGGGCTATGGCACGCTGTCTGTTTAAAGCAACAAAGAAGCTCTTATGGGTAATGGTTGAAAGCTGCAAGACGTTAGGAACAAAGAAAAGTAGAAGAGGAGATTCGGTCGGCTACAGTTATCACCAGGACAAATATCAGACGCAAAAACTCTATTTCCTCCTTGCTACTTGCCAATTTGGAAGAATTGATGTGAAAGGCCACTTGGACACCCTTGAGTTCTAATGTCTGTCATGGACAAGGAGCCATTTGAGTGCATAACTTTGGACGTCTCAGTCGGACAAGGCACCTAGTCATGAGGCAGAGATCCTGCAAAGAAAGATTCTTCGTCTTGATCGTCTGCTAACAACTGTTACCTAGGAATCCCTCACTGAATCCAGCTGGATTTTCTACATGGCAAGCCTGAGACATGAACAAAAGAGGCCTGGGTTCCTGAAGAGATTACAATGAAAAAAATTGAAATCATTTTGACGCGTCTTACCT